AGTGGTTCCATTGGTTGATTGTTCTCACTGTCAGAAAATTTCTCCTTATTTCTAGGTTGAATCTCTCTCCTTGACCAGTTTCCATCCATTATTCCTTGTCTGGCCTTCGGGTGCTTTGGATAATAGTTTGACTCCTTCCTCTCTGTGGCAGCCCCTCAAATATTGGTACACTGCTATCATGTCTCCCCTGGTCCTTCTCTTCACTAGACTAGCCATGTCCAGTTCCTTCAAACGTTCATCGTATGTCTTAGCCTCCAGTCCCCTAACAAACAGGCAACCAATTAAGCTCTTGCAAGACAGGTGACATTAGATTCACATGCATGAATCTAAGCTTGCAGAAAATGATGTGAAATGCAGGATTTCATGGCAGCTTGCATAGAAACCCCTTCTCCAATTTTTCCCCACAATAGTCCTGTGAAATTGACTGAGAAACTGAATAACAGAGTTGGAAGGGATCTTGGAGGTTTTCTAAGTCCAACCCCCTACTCAAGCAGGAGAAACTATACCATTCTTGACAAATGTCTGTCCAAGCTCTTCTTGAAAATCTCCAGTGATGAAGCACCCAAAACCTCTGGAGAGCAAGTCATTCCACCGATTAATTGTTCTAAGCTGTGAAAAAATGTCTCCTTAATTCTAGATTGGTTCTCTGATCAATGAGCTTTCCATGACTAAAAGTGGATTTGAACCTGGGTCTCTGGAGACCTAATCCAATGGATTATACCACTGCTGCTCGGTTTTAGCCTTATCCTAGATCCATGATGGTGAATCTATAGCACGTGTGCCTGTGGCATGTGGAGCCATGTCACCTGGCACGTACGGCCTCGCCCGTTCATCTTCCAAGTTTCTTGCACGTATGTGCGCGCGACGATCAGCTGGTCTTTTTGCATGCAGCAGTGTTGGAAACTAGAAGATTTTCTAGCTGGTCTTCTATTTTCCTATGTGAGTATGCGCACTGGCCAGCTATTCATCGCATGTGCATGCATGCCAGAAATCCGGAAGAGTAGCTGGCTGAAACCGGAAGTTCAGTAGCTGAAACCTGAAAGTTCATTTTTGGGCGCGCGCATGTGCCCTGGGTAGCTCGTTTTCTGGGTTGTGGCCCAGAAATGCACGTGTGCTCCCTTTTCGGCACTCGGTGCCGAAAAGATTCACCATCACTGCCCTAGATTGTCAAGTGTACATGGATTTTTCTGAATCTTTCTAGATATTAAACAGAAATGGTCCCAAGTGTAATGGTAAGGCATGCAACTTAATGGAAATAAGAGGTTCTAAAGCAGATGGACTGAGTCCATGTGCAGAAAAAACAATTGCTACCAACCTGCCTTACATTGAGGACCTGTACACTGAATGAGTCAAAAGAGGGCTGTGAAAATATTTACAGACCCCTCGCATCCTGGACATAAACTGTTTCAACTCCTACCCTCAAAACGACCCTATAGAGCACTGCACACCAGAAAAACTAGACACAAGGACAGTTTTTTCCCAAACGCCATCACTCTGCTAAACAAATAATTCCCTCAACACCGTCAAACTATTTACTAAGTCTGTGCTACTATTAATCTTCTCATCGTTCCCACCACCCATCTCCTCCCGCTTATGAGTGTATGACTGTAATTTTGTTGCTTGTATCCTTACGATTTATATTGATATTGTTCCCTGATTGCTTATTTGTACCCTATGACTATCATTAAGTGTTGTATCTTATGATTCTTCATGAACGTATCTTTTCTTTTATGTACACTGAGAGCATATGCACCAAGACAAATTCCTTGTGTGTCCAATCACACTTGGCCAATAAAAAATTCTATTCTATTCTATTCTATTCTATTCTATTCTATTCTATTCTATTCTATTCTATTCTATTCTATTCTGGAATAAGCAGAATGAAAGAGACTATACCCCAAACCTGGAACGATGGACTGCAGGAAGGACAGCTCAGATAATGCGCACCACAAACTTCAAGTACTTGCTCAAGGAGAAAAATAAATGTTCCTCATCAAAAATAAAAGCATTAAGATAACAGCTCAGGATTTCCCATTTCTCTACAAAATCACCTTGCACGGTGAGGCTTTTTAGAATATTTTATGTCTAGCTGTGGGTACGAATTATGGCAGATTGCAATTCCTTTCCCCATTCACCCCATCCGTTCACTGCAAACATTTGCTGCTTCTCCAAATCCCGAAATGAGTGGGCGTTAGGTACCGTGCACGTTGGCATCCAATCATCGTATGACACATCCTATCCACAAAATAAACATCTACCAACACATCTCCGCAGAAGTTCAAAGATCAAGGAGGCCAGGGCACAGATATTAGAAGCACATTCTGCATTTACAGGCGTGCCAGTCCCCAAATTACGCACGTCTATCCTAACAAGGATGTCAGCTCCTAACCTAGGAAAGGTCACTGCTGGAGACCTTGCAAAGGAACAACAGATGGTTTCGTGCAATTAAAAAGACAGCTTGCCTCCTGCGGGACCTGATATTCACCATCTACACATACCACAACATTACCCAAGGATAATTCAAGTTTAAGGGAGAGACGTAGATCCATCCACACATCTAGTGGTGGGGACAAATGAACAGCAGAAGCCATGTCTCCATGGAAGATTGAAGGCTCACTCACGTCGGTGCAGAGCAATGGGACTGAGAAACATCTAAGGCTTCTGGAGAGCTGTTGCAACCAGCAAAGCACAGTCACTTCACTGCAACAATCTGTCTGATCCTGGATAAGACGCCTTCCAAGACTCCATATTACACCACCACCTATTGTTTGTTTGTTCTCCAGCACTCCTCTTCCTCCTCCCCTCAGCTGTCCATTCTTCTCTGGAAGGACAGCAGCCATGGCATCCTAGAGCCTCTTATTTGAAGGGCTTCCAGGATGCACATGGTGTTTTGCCTGGTAATCCAATCCTAAAGGTAATCCAAACCAAGATGAAACTGGGAGTGTAACTGAAGGGTAGGGAAGCTTCTTCTGACGCTCCTATGTGAAGTTAGAGGCAGCCCTTCCTCTTTAAATCAAGAGTGGGAGCAGCCGTCTCTTAGCATCATGTTGTACTTCAAATGTTAGCCCAGCAAAACCAGGGTGGACAGAAATTGGAGGTGGATAAGCAGGTGCTTAATAATAAAACCTACCAAAGGTTAATCCACCCAAAAGATGGATCCATCTCTGAAAAGGTCAAAGATTGGGAGGCGGCGGGACAACCATGTACGTGCGAAAACATTTGGAATGAGATCCGCTTCCATACCGGATCTGTTTCTTAAGACCTGTTAATGATCGAAGATCAGCGACAAATCAGTCTAGCAACATAGTTTTTTACTGGTCTCTGGCTGGAGAGATCTCAAGGTTGCTTTGCAGCAAACAAAACACAAGATAGAGCCTTTATGCCTGAAGCCCTCACCCCCTCCCCGTCCTCCCTTGTGTACAGATACTATAGAGTAAATGCATACAATTCACACATACACAAAAATTCCACAGCAAACAGCGATTAAATATATATATATATTAAAAAAATAAGAAAGGCAAGAGAAATAAGAAAGCAAGCATCACAGGGCCAGAGTGCAGACCTGACTTAACAGGTACCCCATTTTTCTACTCACCTCTATGCTAGTCACACTCCTCTATCCTCCTGCCCTTGGCAAAGAGACCATCCTACCTGATGCTTAGCAACTTTGTAGTTATTTTGGGGGGAAAAAACAACCCCTCTCTAGCCCGCCGGCTTCATAGAAGCACAGAAAAACGGCTTTCTCCAGCAACCTTTCAGCTCTCCATCAGTTGGAAAAGGGGGGAAATGTTAGGTATCTGTTATGTGTTCTCTGTGGGAGGAAGTGGGGGAACCTTTGCAGGGGGTGGAGGGTTCAAGACCTGCCACACATTTTTTCCATCCCCTTCCATTTTTGCCACCTGTCTAGGGCAGGATAGCTCAAGTGTTAACAATTATGCATGCATACACACACACACACACACACACACCTTGAAAAGGATGGAGAAAAGCACAACAGGGAAATGAGCAGGGAGAAGGGAAGAAGAGAGGTGGTTCTGAATGCATCTCCCTTCCCCAGCTAACACCCCGTTACCCCAGTTGAGAACGATGGGCACTGCAAGTCCAAAATAGGAGAGTAACACCAGGCTGGGGGCAGGGGGGGGGTCGTTTGGTGGCACGAGATCTTGAAGAAAGATTTGCCTCTTTTTACATTTAGAAGCCAAGTGTGTTCAAGAGAAGGCGGCAAGCTCCGATCCCGAGGAAATATATTTATTTATTTATTTATTTATTTATTTATTTATTTATTTTGCCTTTTTGTGACTCCGGTAGCAAATTCCCACGACCCAAAGATCCCACTTTCTCCCCCAAAACATCTTCAACCAAGTCTTTCCCACCGGCAACTGCTTCGCCCCCGGGGGGGGGGGTCCGTTCCCGAACCTGGAATTGCCACAGCCCGCTTGGAAACGGTGCCGCTTTAGACTCGCACCACACAACACAACCCCCCCCCCACACACACAAGACACACAAACACACACAGACATACGCACAGGCATCAAGAGGTGCAAACTTGAGCACAAACCTCCCCGACTGGATGGGCGCTCGGTCAACTCCAGCGGTCCCCCCTTTTTCCCCTCTAACCGGCGGCTTCGGGCACCAACAGGTCTCTTCGGTCGGCCGAGGTGAAGCTTCCTCCCACGTCAGGTGTTCGGTTCCCGCGTCCCGCAACAGAACCGAACCAGCCCCGACGGCCGCCTTGCCCTAAAGTCACAGCCCCCCACCCGCCGCCTCCTCCTTCTTCTTCCTCCTCTTCCTCCTCCTCCTCCTCTTCCTCTCCCCACGAACGAGGGCATCTCCCGGCGGCGCGCCTCCTTTGGGGCACAACGGAGAGACCCCGCGCCCCCTCCCTCCCCTCCCCTCCCCTCCCTTGACCACCCCGGGTTTTGACGAGCCCGTTTCTCTAGGGGAAAAAAAAATCAGGTCTCTTGCAAACGGGGCAAGGGCGTCGGACCGGCGGGGCTCACCTTCCAGGCAGGCGGCTCTGCTGTTCCTACAGGTCTGCTTCCCGCCTCCCCGGGCTGCTCCTCCGCGGTAGAGATTCTGAGCCCCTTCCTCCTCCTCCTCCTCCTCCTCCTCCTCGCCTCCGGTGATGCCGAGGCCGTTAGGGGGGCTGCCGGCCGGATCCTCTCCTCCTCCTCCTCCTCCTCCTCCCCGACCTCTTCCCCCCGAAAGCAGAGACAGAGGAGCCCACGCCGGCCTCCAAGGGGGTCTCGGAAGCCTCCGCATAAAGTCCCTTCGGGGGGGGGGGAAGCGTGCGAGCGCCCTGCTGGCTGGCTGGCTAGGATAGATGGATGGAAGGAAGGAAGGAAAGAAGGAAGGTGGGGTCCGTTCGGTTCAGGTGCGCCCGGCTGCCCCCCGAGCGCCCGGCTGGTCCCGGACGTGCGTGGAGCTCGGCGGCGAATCCGCGCAGCAGGTGGCCATGGCCGAGGGGCCCCGCCCGCCTCCGCTCGTCACGGGGGTGGGTGGGTGGCTGGATCGGTGGCAGAGAGAGAGAGAAAGAGAGAGATGGATGAATGAATGAATGAACGGACGGATGGAGGAATGAATGAATGAAGATGAAGATGCAGAGCGGGGAAAGATCGCAGCAATGGGGGCGGGCGAGGAGGGGGCTTCGCCTTGGTCTGGCAGAGGCTCAGCCACGCAGCCGGCCGGCCCGAGCGCCCTGGCAGCCGAGAAGATGGGGGCGGTGGGAGACCAATCCTGCCTCGAGTCGGCAAGCCCTCCAACTCCTCCCGATTCGTCTCGCCCACGTCAAAACTCTGCACGCGAGGAGAAGGAGGAGGAGGAAGAGGAGGAGGAGGAGGAAGCGGCCGATCCTCGTGGATCCCGAACGTTGGGGGGTCCCGGTAACTCTTTCCGCGCCTGCTATCATCCGCCACCTCTTTAGGAGGGTTTCCACATCTTGCCTTCCCCGTTTTTCTACTCCGGGTGGGGTGATGGAAGAGAGGAAGCAGGGGTGAAATCCAGCAGGTTCTGACAGATTCTGGAGAACCGGTAGCGGAAATTTTGAGTAGTTTGGAGAACCGGCAAATACCACCTCTGGCTGGCCCCAGAGCGGGGTGGGAATGGGGATTTTGCAGTATCCTTCCCCTGGAGTGGGGTGGGTATGGAGATTTTGCAGTATTCTTCCCCTGGAGTGGGATGGGTATGGAGATTTTGCAGTATCCTTCCCCTGCCACACCCATAAGCCATGCCCACCAAGCCACTCCACGCCCACCAAGCCACGCCCACAGAACCGGTAGTAAAAAAATTTGGATTTCACCACTGAGAGGAAGTCCACAAGATTGATGATGGTGGTGATGATGATGATGATGATGATGATGGCAATAGCACTTAGACTTATATGCCACTTTGTCAGTCCTCTCTAAACACGTGACCGAATCAGACTTTTGCCCTCCAACAATCTGGGTCCTCATTTTACCGACCTCGGAAGGTTGGAAGGCTGAGTCTCAATCTTGAGCAGGTGACAATCGAACTCCTGGCAGTGGGCAGAGTTAGCATGCAATACAATCATGATGATAATGATAATAATGATGATGATGTTGATGACGACATTTGCGTTTCTGTCAATCTTATATCTTGTCGTTTGGTTTCAAAGACCTACAAATCAGTGCCAACATCTCTCACCATCATACGGACATGCAGAATTCCTTGAATTCTGTTTTTCCCCTTAGTGTGGCTTCTAGCTCCTTAGCCCAATAACAACAATAATATTAATGTTATATTGATCTTCAAGATCCACCTCTGTTAACGCAACCATAACTCCGAGACCTAACTCTGTAGTGTAATAATCATAATAACAGCATGATGTCTTTCGATCCCATTTATCTTAGTCGATTTTCCAAAATCTGTATCAGAGTATATGGATAATGATATTGAAATAATAAATACAGCACTTTGGGTGACAACCTCAAGACAAATGAGTTTGTTATGGCATGAACCTCCTTGGGCTTGAGCCCACTTCATCAGATGTATGGAGTACGATCTGTGGTTGCCAACGAGATGGATAGAAAGCAAGGAGGGAAGGAAAGCTGAAGTCAAATGGGAGCACAATGCATACATTTCCCCCCCCCATGACATTTCAATTAAAGCCCAAATGCAGGCAAAACAGCTGATGAGCAGGGATTGATCAGTTTTGCTGCAGGTTTTAATGTCAACCTAGTTAACTGTTGTCCTGACTCCCTTTTTTTTTAGGACCCTGTAAGTCCCTATTTAGGGTAGAGTTGGGGTAACTGGAAAGAGCTGAGCATTTACTGGCCAGATGCCCTTCCTGATGCTTATGCGGAGTTCGCAGCAGGATTTTTTTTTCTTTGTGCCCTAGGAGAGAAACAACTGCTGCTACCTAGGATTGAACTCTCAACCTTCTGAGTGGGAGGCAAGCATCTTCACCCCTTAGGCCACCACACTGCTCAACTTGTTGTCCTTATTTAGGTTAAAATAGAAAGGATCAGATTTGGTCTGTTCTATGAAGAACCAGAGGTGGAATCTATTCTAGAAAGTTTTTAAAAAATGGAAGAAGGAAATGGTAAATAATAATTTACTTAATTGCCTTACTTAGCAACAGAAATTCTGGTCCCAATTGTTATATGTTGAGGACTCTTTATGGCCTCTCAAAACGGGGAAATTTTCTTTCAGCTATTATTCAGTCTCAGGACAAGTAACAGCTATTTTTCTATTCTGAACGAGGAAATAGATTATCACTGGACTTCTCTCATCATTTTTTTCTACAAATCAACTGGCAAGTACTTTCTTTTTCTCTTCCTCTCCAGGAGCGATGTTCCACTATCTTTTTTAATCGTCGACTCCCTCTGCATTTTAATTTATTCTTTTTTCCACAAGACAAGTTTGACAAATTATGGAGGGCTGTCCTTATGTTCCTTATAGTACTATTATTATTTAAACTACTTCCCCTGCTGATCCCTATCTTTCTTTCCAACTCTTCTCTCTCTTTTTGTGTTCTATATTACTCACTTGGTGAATTGTTTTTAACCACAGTTTTCAAGACTCTGGTAAGCATGCTGTTCTTCATCCTTTGTTAAAGGACCCCCGCTTGCATCCTTTTTGTGATTAAGTCACTGATATATGTCTCTGTTTCCTCTTTTCTTATTTAAAATCCTTGAGGGAGTTCCTGTGAAGGCACGTGGAAAAGATCTCGGTACATGGGGCAAAGAGATCCTGCCAAGAGAACACTCAAGGTTAGCCCACAGTTGGATAATAGGAGGGGTCAGAAGAGACCAGGGGTGAAATCCAGCAGGTTCTGGAGAACCGGTAGCAGAAATTTTGAGTAGTTCGGAGAACCGGCAAATGCCACTTCTGGCTGGCCCCAGAGTGGGGTAGGAATGGAGATTTTGCAATATCCTTCCCCCAGGAGTGGGGAGGGAATGGGGATTTTGCAGTATCCTTCCCATGCCATGCCCACCAAGTTCACGCCCACCAAGCCACACCATGCCCACCAAGCCACGCCAACAACTGCCATTTGTCAGAAATGGTATAGGGTTTTCTGCGGGGGGTTGGACTAGATACCTACAAGGTCCTTTCCAACTCTGAGAATCTGTAAGAATCTGTAAGACTCTGTCAATGTAGCTCTACAATAAAGTAGAATTAGTTTAACTTTCGATTCCGATCTAGTTCATCCCGCGAGGCCGACATCAATCAGATATCATGTTAGTATTTCATCTTGGATGTCTCCCATTGTTTCAGTTTGAACATGGATGTAAGAATTGGTTCCTTGACTGATGACGATTCAGAAAATTGCTACATAAACAGCCAGGGGCAAGCTTGTTATTTTTAGAAGAAAAGACTGCCTTTTTAAAGAAGAAAAACAAGTTCACAGGAAAGCTGTTAGACAATCAAAAAAAGTCTCCACCCTGATGTAGAGGGATAGAATTGGTTCTAAATGGGAAATATTCCAAGTATTGGTTCTCAATGGTATAGGAAGCCCCCCTCCCCAGATTAAAATATTCTTTATTTTTAATATTAAAAGAGGCAGAATATTATATTTCCCCAAAGGAAAAATGGAGAAACATGCTCTTAAAGGCAGAAAGCAGCCCTGGACTTTCTGAATAGTAAAACAGCTTCCAGCAGATACCTGAAGTCTTTAGAGATGGATATTTTTGGAAGTCTGGGCCAATCTATTCATAAACATAAACACACAGAAGGTTGGACCTGATGGGATTAAAATTTACTTTCCCCCACCCAAATTCTAAGAACAGGACATGATCTTTAGGACATAATAGGATTTACCCATCACCATTAGGATAGCAAAAGGCACAAGGCTCACTACATTGCACAACCCCCTGGAGCATCTCAAAGCCCTATAAAAATCCATCCATTCCTAAATCAAGGTTTCAGCCACCCCAGAAACATGCTTCTGTCAATGAAGTTTCTGGAATCCAAATAAACCTTTCCTTGCAGCCAGTCAGTTGGCCTTTCCAGGGCCTTTCTCCCAGCTTGGAACAAGACCTGATTTTTCTTCCAACAATGAGAAATATTCAATTGCTGGAATTTTGTAAATTCTTTCTATTCTTTTCAATAAATCTTGCTGAAGAGAGACCAAGACAATTTGTGCTTAGAAACAATCACTTTAATTTGGGGGAATAATGCACAAAACATCACATTTTGGCTGATCACTTTTTCTCTATTGTGCTTTCCCCCCACTTTTCTATGGGGTTCCCAGATAACCCCAATTTCCTCCACTTACAGCCCCGGAGTTGGGATCAAGGATCATAGGACTTCATGCTTTGTCACTGAGCTTATAGCCAAGATCACTGATTTTCATTTGCTGAATCTTCCTAGGGTCCAGATTTTTTTGACCCAGATGAGAGCAGCTTTATTGGTACAACCTCTTTGGCTTCCTGCTTACCATACTGCAGTTGTCTCTTAGCTGGTGTTCAAAATACCTCGTTCCATCCCTGAGACTGAATTCATTCAGGTTGTTCTGGACATTCCGTGCTATTTTCAAATCTCATTTCCTCACAGGGCTCATTCTTGGTTCCCTGTTTCAGTCAAAGCCAGCATAAATCACATCTGGCTTAAATTGTGTTGAGAGCCCATTGGTCCTGAATCCAGTATCTATGGGCTGATGTGTCTATGGAAATTCTCAATCATGGTTGTTCCAAAGGTGCTTTTTTTTTTTTTTTTTTAAATTGATTTATATGCCGCCCTTCTCCGGAGACTCAGGGCGGCTTACAATGCATTAAGCAATAGCCTTCATACTTTTGTATATTTATACAAAGTCAGCTTATTGCCCCCACAAACTGGGTCCTCAATTTACCCACCTTAGAAAGGATGGAAGGCTGAGTCAACCTTGAGCCTGGGGAGAATTGAACTCGCAGTAATTGCAGGCAGCTGGATGTTAAATGCTGCTTTAGGAGGCATTAGCCTCCTATGCCACTCAGGCTCCTAATGGCAACTGGGCTTCCTTCGTTTTTTCTTTGAAAATGTTTTGATTCTCAGTCAAGAAACTTCTTCAGTTCTTGAGGGAAAAAAAAAAAACCTTTGGGATTCTCTGCTGGTATTTTTTTTACTTCAGTAGTGGTCAAAATTTTGGAAACCTTTTGGGGAAAGTGTATTTTCTAAAACTAAAACTTTTTTTTTTTGAGTAGTACCAGTGGTGGGTTGCCCCTGGTTCAGACCAGTTCGCAAGAACCTGTAGTAAAACCAGCAGGAGGCCCTGCCTACCGCCCCAGATGTCATCATCAGTGATCTGCGCATGCGATCCCATTGCGAACCAGTAGTAAAGGTAAGTAGATC